TACACATTCAAAACCCTTCTCATCTCTAACCCTAACTTCCTTCAGAGAACTCTAAATCAATCACAGAAAGGGAGAAAGGAGAAAGACGCTTCGATTAACTTAAATCAGGGTTCCGTCTACATTACCTGATTTCGGTTTCGAAAGACTTGATTTAGAGTTCCCCAGTTGATGCTGCAGTTCACGCACAGGAAACGCACAGTAAAGCTTCTCGCAGAAGTTTTGCAGGAAAAGAAATGCAAGTAAACCTTTTTCTGCAGAAAAATTGCCTATTTATACTTCTGGGCAAAATTAAATCTCAACGGCTGAGATTCATTTAATATTACGGTCGCTGTTGACACCGTTTGGAATTCAATGGCCAACCCCAAACGGTACCGTTTGGAACTTGACGGTTCATTTTTAAATTTGCCCGTTTAACTGTTGTAGTTACCTTTTTACGGCTGTATTTATTGCGCACGTCATTCCAAGGACAACTGTCACACCATGTGTTACCCCTTTGTCAGAATTTTCAGAACGAACCCACTCACGACCATTTCAACACCTTTGTTTACTTTTCTCAATTTTGTCAAGTGTTTCACTTCAGCTCCGGCCACAATAATGCTGCATTACATTTCACATCGACTTCGGCCACAGTGATCCTGTATCACACATTTTATTTCGGCTCCAGCCATTATGACTCCGGTCATTATATTTTATTATGGCTCCAGCCATTTTGACTCCCATTTTTATATTTAAGCCTAGCTCAGCACTTCTGTTTACTTATACAATTACACTTTTAAACTGGCATAGTGTTTTACTTCGGCTCCGGCCACAGAGACACATGTTTTACTTCGGTCCTGGTTACTGTGACTACATGTCACATACTCTACCTCGGCTCCGGCCATTATGACTCCGGTCATCATATTTTATTAGGGCTCCAGCTATTATGACTTCGGTCATCATATTTTATTACAGCTCCGGCCATTATGACTCCGGTCATCATATTTTATTATGGCTACGACCACCATGACTCCGGTCATCATCTTTTACTATGGCTACGGCCACGTTAACTCTGGTCATTATTTTTACACGACCACAGCCATGATCACTCCGGTCATATTCTATTTAAGACACTCCCAATGTAATCCACTGTTACATATTTCATTATTAGCTACGACTATGTTTATATTTAAGTTACAGACTTTATTTCTTCTTTTTACTTCCATAACCTATCCTTATTCTCTTTGTTTATACACTCCCCTCAATATCCCCAATAACATCATTCACAAGTGAATGACTTCGGGGGGGGAATAGTGTAAGGACAGGTCCGAGGTGTCAAGCCTCAGACTGCTACAGTAATTCCTTTATGACCGAAGTGAGGAATAAATCCAAAGCTTCCCACTCAAATGGCTGCATGACAAGGACAATAAGCATGCCCAGGACAATAAGCATGCCCGCACCTGATTCCTTACGATGAATGGCACAGCAAGTATGGTGGACGCTCGTGCATCTGGATAGCTCTCAAATTCCCGGTCCTGGAATAACCGTCTCGATGGACACGTCAGGCTCCAATTATCTTGCTTGGCATGCGACCGGGGTTCCTCATTGGATCCTATAAATACCCCTCCGGGCCACGTCAAAAAGGTAATTGAAACCAACCCTAAGCTCTTTTTATCTCTGCCTTCAAGGTAGCCCCGATTATTGCTGACTTAAGTATCGGAGTGTCTACCCCGAGTTTCACCTCGGGGCTTTGCAGGTCATCTCGAAGTGTAAGCGCGGACTAAAGAAGGACTTTTGGTTTGGTGCAATTACACCACTGACGATGGAATTGACCTGAAGTCAATGCAGCAGGGAAGGTGTCGTCGAAACCTCACCAAATTGGAAAGCAGGGGACGAAGATGATTTTGGTCATGACGGGCAAAATAGTCCTTGCAAAAGAAAATTCTAACCTCTGTGTAGCTTTATCATTTCCTGTGTCTGCAACAACTGGGCCCGCGGTGGGCCTCACTGCATTACTGCCCTTGCCAATAATTCAACACCTACCCCTCGACAAAATTATCTTATCCGATTGCTTTTGCCTTTTTTTTTTTATTTCTTTTCTTCCAAAAAAAAAAGGCTCAT